CCCGAGGCTGGGTGGCTGGGCAGCGCTGCCCTGAGTGGGCCCAGGGGACGGCTGTGTGTCCCCGTGTGGCCCAGTCATCCGATCAGGCTGCCCCAGGAAGCGGTGAGAGCCCGGGCCAGGCAGCTCCCTGCAGCCAGCTGATGAAGCTGGTGGCCCAGAGCTGCAGCCAGCAGCCCCCCCAGCAGCTGGGGCACTAACCCGCCGCCGTCCAGGTCCCGGGGGCCTCGTTTCCATGACAGGCGGGAAGAGGGCAGTGCTGTCATTAACGGGCGAGGTGGAGGCAGGCGGAGGCCGGCTGTGAAGCCACGAGGCTGCAGAACAAACCACGGCCGGCCGGCGCGGAGGGCGTTCTGTCCGTTAGACACGGGTGGTGCTTCAGGGTGCAGTCGGGCGCCCTGACCGGGGTGTGCCCTGCTCAGCTGCCATCAGCTGAGGGCCTCAGGGCCTCAGTGGGGACTCCTCCGACGGGCCAGCGGCAACATGGCGGTGGCTCAACGCGCCGTTTGCTCATCGCTGTGCCAGTTCAATCGAGAGTGCATTCATGTTCTAACACTAGTCTCTGCCCCCCCCCCCGCCCCCAACAGAAACCTGCTCATCGCTGTGCCAGTTCAATCGAGAGTGCATTCATGTTCTAACACTAGTCTCTGCCCCCCCCCACCCCCAACAGAACTCCAGTAAATGATGTTCATTTCCCATGTTAAAAAAATGTGTGGGAGCCCTGGCCGGTGTGGCTCAGCGGATAGAGCATTGGCCTGTGGACTGAAGGGTCCCGGGTTCGATTCGATCAAGGGCACATACCCGGGTTGTGGGCTCGATTCCCAGGGCGGGGTGTGCAGGAGGCAGCTGGTCAATGATTCTCATCATTGATGTTTCTATCTCTCCCTCTCCCTCTCCCTTCCTCTCTCTGAAATCAATACGAATATATTTTTAAAAAGTTATAAAAAAAATATGCGGGAGAGGGACACAGGAGGGCACCTGTAAACATTCCCCCAGTTGGCCCAAGTGTAAAGCATGCTGACCTGACCCTCCCTCGCCCCCAGTTCGCCGCCGGGACCACAGCGGCCCGAGAGGTCAGGAGAGGAGCCAGGCGCACTCACAGCAGCCACGGGCGAGAGCCTGCGTCTGTCCGGGAGGGTCTGGGCTCCAGGGGTCAGTGGAGGGGGCCCCATGAGAGGAGGAGAACCCTCGGGGACAAGAGTGGATGGAAAGGATGGGGCGAGCTGAGCACAGACCCCTGGCTCGGCCCTCGGGGATGGAGCGTGAAGCGTGGAGAAGAGGCCAGAGAATGGAGAAAAGCAACGTGAGTTCGTCGTATCCCGTGCAGCGACGTGGGGGGTGTCGGACCAGAGATGTCAGCACAGCCTCTTCCCGTCCGAAGGGTCTGCTTAACGGGGAGCCTTTTCAGGTTCCGTCTGGATCCAGGAATCCCAGGGGGACGGGACGGAAGCGAGGCTGGGAGGAGAGGCCGAGCTGCCGCTGGCGGAGTGAGGATGGGCAAGGAGGAGGCGTGCGGCCCGGAGCAGGACGGGAAGGGTCGGGGAGACCTGCCTGCGCCCCCGGAGCCTAGCCCACGGCCTGCCTCCTGGGTGCTCAGCAGGAAATGCCAGAGATGCCAACCGCCAGGGAAATTCCTCCCAGAAGTCTGAGAGGCGCACCTGTTGGTCTCATGACCAAATACGACCGGAACGGAATGCCAGTGGGGGTGGGCTGACCCCCCTCTTGTAGGCCTGGCCGCAGCGGCGTCAGATCACTCTATCGTTCTGTCCAAATTGTTTCCTCCTGAAAAGTCATCTCAGATTCATCACAGTCGACATCTGTGTGCCAGGCCGTGGGCTCCAGCAGTTACCCGATCACAGTCCTGGCGCCGGCGGGTGTGAAGCAGCGCCCCTATGAATGGAATGGCCATGCCCAGAGCTGCACAGGAGGCAGCCGGGCTCCGTGGGAGGGTGGTCGGGGGCGTGACGGTTAAGCTGAGACCTGCGGGACGCTGGGTGTTAGAGGCCAGGAGAAGAGGAGCAGCAGCCCAGGCCAAGGGGTCAGTGTGTGCAGAGGCCTGGCGGTGGC